TTGCTGAATGCGGTCAGCATGTTATGTCTTCTGGGAATTACATCTTCCCTCATTAGTCTCCCTCGCTCAGCTTTAGAGGATCAGATGCCTGTGAGGTTCAAGGCTCGGGCGCTGCTGGCCGTGGAGGAGGACAGCGGTTCGGTGCAGGTGAGTTGAGTTGAGTTGCACTTCATTCATTTACATGGTTTCAGAATTGATTTGAGATGTGATGTTTTCATGTTTTTCAGCCCTTCGATACAAAGGAGATTATAGGCTTTGTCATCGGCTCTGTATCTTCAGTACTGTATTTATGCTCCAGACTGCCACAGATGTACACTAATGTAAGTCTTACTGCATGTATGTGCTGATGAATTTCACTAATATATCAAGAACATGTTCAGGTAATATGTCATCCCAAAATTTAAAAGAAAGTAATTTTAATTAATTTATATATATATGTATTAGTTAATAAATAATTAATGCATTTTTATTTTACATTATATTGTTTTTTTCTTTTGCAATGTATTATGCAAATGATGTGTTTTCTAGATTTATTTCTAATATTTGCAACAGTATTTCTCATTGTTTGGACATTACATCTCACAAATGAGAGGAGCAAAATCTACTCTTGATTGCACTGCCTTTAAATTATGCTCATTAAAATTATTGTATGACAGTAATGAAAATCAACTTCGGGAATAATGGAAACGTCTGGAAGCATTATAAAAATGGATTTAGAGATGATTTGTGGTTAAATGTCATTAAAATAATGTCTCTATGCAAAAAATCTTAAAGGAATTTTTCTCCCAATAGTGAAAATTGGCTGAAAATGTACTCAACCTCAGGACATCCTATATGTAGATGAGTTTGTTTCTTCATCAGAACAGATTTGCTCACTAATGGATCCTCTTCAGTGAATGGGTGCCATCAGAATGAGAGTCCAAACAGCTGATAACAGCTACATCACAATAATCCACACAACTCCAGTCCGTCAATTAATGTCTTGTGAAGTGAACATTTTTGTATGAAACAAATCCATCATTAAGGTATTTTAACCTTAAACTGTCTCTTCTGGCCAGAATGAGTCCAAAAAACTCTTCCTCCAGTGAAAAAGTCCATCTCCTGTTGTCCTCTCACATCAAAATCCATCAACATAACTGTTTTGAACTGTTGTTCTTGTAAACGGTACCTGATCTGTGCATATTTCTCTCCTGATTCAGACTAGATGACTTTTTCACCAGAGAATATTATGGATAGAGGACTCACATTTTAGCTAGAAACAACGGTTTAGAGTTAAAAATGTCATGATGGATTTGTTTATTACAAACACACAGGTCTTTGTTTAATTGATGGACTGGAGTTGAGTGGATTATTGTGATGTAGCTGTTTGGACTCTCATTCTGACGGCACCCATTCACTGCAGGGGATCCATTGGTGAGCAAGTGATGAAATGGTAAATTTCTCCAAATCTGTTCCCATGAAGAAACACTCTGGATGGCTTGAGCGTGAGACCATTTTCAGCAATTTTCACTATTCCTTTAAAGCCCCTAAAAGTCTTTTTGTTAATGCAAAATATAATTTCTTATTTATTTGAATGACTTCTACATGTTTAATGTGAATGTTGCATCATTCTTTATTGCTTTGGACACTATAATCATTGCAGACATCTGTAGTGTCATAGCAGTGACTGACTTCAGTTATTATTCATACATTTGCATGCTACATATGCATGTAGCACTTAGTTAAAGATGTACAGATATTGCTTTTTAGTGAAGTTCAAATATTTCTTGCAGTTTCAGAGGAAGTCAACAGAGGGCGTGTCTTTTTTCCTGTTTGCTCTTGTGATTCTGGGAAACACAACATATGGCATCAGTGTGCTAGTGAAGAACCCAGATCCAGGGCAGGGAGAGGCCAGCTATATCATACACCACCTCCCCTGGCTCATCGGCAGCCTGGGAACGCTCTCCCTTGACCTTATAGTATCCTTTAAAGCCACATTTTAAACACTGAGCTGTGTGAGTGGGGTCACTGATTCCCAACACAGTCCTCATGGACCTATAGATGTGAAATGTCTGGACGCATATTGTAAATGAGAATTTGGAGGAGAAAACATGCTCATGAAAATAATTCCATACCAAAATTCGTAATGGACCTAAAACAGGCTTTCTTGTAAACGTAATATTATTTTAATAATGTAGCCACAAAAATGTTACTTAATTATGAATAAACGTTTTTGTCAATGAAACCACGACACACTAGGATTATTATAGTTAACTTAAAAAAAAAAAAAAACGTTTTCAGTACTATATACTTTTGTATATATAAAATATACAAAAACTTAAAACATTTTATTTTGGCCAGTTGTAAAGGAAACATTTTTTTTTTCATTTCTATGTAGTTTAACCTGATTAAACTGAAAAAAGAAATGAATAAAAACGGTTACAAAAAAAGTAAACAAAAAAAGCAACAAAATTACTAAAACTTTAAAGTTAAAATGAAAACTAATAACTAAAAATGATTTATCAGTGATGCTAAAATAACAACACTGAACTGTAAGGTGTCCCCAATACAATGTTGAACTGTTGGTGCTAAATTACATTGATTAATTGACACGGTTTGTTTTGAAAACATGGAGTCAAAGGTCACATGATTAATGTTATGGACAATATTGTATGAATGTGTGAGTCATTGTGTGTTTGACCTTCTGGATCACTTGAGGTCACATGTATTGACGAAACTGATTGTTGCCACAGCAACCGGCTGTGTGTTTTACATCACTGAGGTCATACGACTTCCTTTCACGTGAAGCTCATTTGTCAGAATCCCATGAGCACTGAGCCTGGTTTGAATTCATTCAGAATAGTCTGAAAATATTTCAGCTTTTTGCCTTAACACTTTTCTTTAGATATCCGTGCAGTTCATGATGTACAGCAAATCACCTGGGGATTCTGCAGATGGAGATGAAGAGACGGCTGCGCTTCTCCATAACTGAACAATTCCCATTCCTG